ACTAAAGACTCCCTTTCTACACCCTCATCGGGTTCATCTCCCACTGATAACTGGTTTCCTTGATGCAGACATAGTTTAGGTTTCTTTTTACTACATCAGTACTATCATGTATTAAATTTCCATATAATTGAGGATCTAGTGCTAGACTATATTCTAATCCATTGATCTTTCTCTCCATACTGTTTCATGCTGTTTTAATATTATAATTTAGCAGTACGTTTTAATATCTGACATGGCTCGACTAGGTCTCATCTACCCTCATTAATATTTTTTCATATCTTTATTTTTTTTTAAATTTTACATTGGAGAAAAGTTGAAAAAATGATACAAAGAATACTCATGTTCCCTTCACCTAGACTGACAGGAAGTGGCATTTTTAAGCCATCACCATCGTTGTCTTTGTTTTGAGTTCCTGGAGTATACAGAACCCAGCTCTGAACAGAAGGACTTGCTTGTAGCTTTCAAAGGACGAAGGGCTGGTTGTCTACAGAGCTATAAGAACAGCTCAGGAATCAGGTGCCGTTACCCTCACTGCACTTGATACAATTTATAAATAAAATGAGATGCGACTGAGCCTGTGAGGACAGAGCTTTCTCACTGTGTTTCAGCAGTTAATGGTGTGAACGTGGCAGAAAGGTGACCTAGCATGGCATGAAAACCTCAGCCAGCTAGCTCTCCAACCGTTTTTCTTATGAAGAAGTTAGACAAAACATGGTATTAACTTAGATTTGGGTCCTAAGTAGTTAGGCCACTTATTACTGGGGAGAACAATAGGCAAACTTGATACATTTTTTAAAAATTCTAGTTAATTTAATATTTATGGTGTGTGGTTTTGCAGTGTTGTCAACTTGGCTAACCCGAACTGTTTCCCAGAATTCCCTTCCCTGTTCTTTCTGGGTAGGGTTGGCCACAAGAGAAATGTGCATGAGATTTGTTAGTGGAAGTAAAGGCATATTCCCACTAACAAATAACCCACGCTTATTCGCTGCAAGTCGCTGTGGGTTGGGTCTTGTTGCACCTCATGCACGTTTTCAGGGATGTGCAGCTCCCTGCTGCAGCTGGGCCCACAGCCCCTCCAGCTCCCATAGCACACTTCAGCTTTTCCAAATCCGGGGCCAGGTATGCTACTAGCTTCTCCTTCAGGTCATCTGCAGCAGGGAGGATGAAGGCCTGGAGAAGAGAGGCCAATATGGGTTCTGCTGAGAGAGACATGCTGGTTCCAGCTTGTTGCTTGCAGGCTTCAGTTGTCCTGGCTCTCCCTCACTGCATATCCAGCTTCTTTCCCAACCACCTGCCCGGTGACTTCAGCTGAAGAAGAAACAGCTGAACCAGGACTCTTACCAGCCGCTGAAACTAACTGCTTAAGGTCAGTCCCTGTAACCACCCCCTTATTCCACGTCATTCCTAGTGGTTCTTCTCTGATTGAACCCTGACTGGTAAGATGTCATTACCAGTCTTTGCCATCCTCAGTATTTTACTTTTTCTGATGGATTCTGGGAATCAGAGTGATTTGCTATTTCCAGAGCCAGTCATGCGGGGTGTCTGTTGGTTAATGCCCAGTGACCTACCTGGATGCTACAGGATGTTTCAGGGATGAGGAGGCAGCCTGGAGTAGCCAAAGAGCCCTGGCTGGAAGTGTCCAGCCTTGATCCTTGATGAGTCATTTAAATTTCCCTGCGCCTTAGTTTCCACCTCCGTGCATCAGCTGGTCTGGATGGGCTCTCAAGCCCCTTCCAGCTCCAAGATTCCAAGTCTGCAATTCCAATACTTCCCTCTTTAGTGACGATGAGGGGGACATCATCGTTGTCCCCCTGTTGTCTTTACCTGTTGTCTCTGAACACTGGCCCTAGGTCTTGAAAGTGACGTTAAATTCTGAGTCCTCGAGGGAGAGCTTCTTTCCTCCTTTTTGTTAATTATAAATTAGATAGGTGTCCAGTGGCTCCCTTCTTTTAAGAACCTGTTTTGCTTATCAGTCTATTCAGCTATATTTATGAACACCACGAAGTAGGCCCCTGTACTGCGGTCTTCTTGTTTCACTAGTTGAAGTGGAAGGTCAGTGGGAGCTGGCCTTCACCCCTTGTATTACGTGTATGTAAATTTACAATAAATGAATTGTGGGGTTAAGAGCAAGTGAGATTGTCGATTTCATGAGCACCTTCATTATTTGACAGATTTCATGTCTTTGTTTCCCTCAAAAGTTGTATCATGCTTAGTAATTTATATTCTCTGCCAGAGTTTGCATCCTATACCCTGGGATATAGGAATGCAATCAAGAAATGAGGGGTTTTTTGTGAAGTATCCTCTAGGCATTTCTTTGCTTTTTTCCTCTGATGTATGAGAAAGGTACATTCTAGGTATTACAGACATGCCATTTCCAAGGTTACACAAACTAATGGTCCCGGGGGACTGACATGTGCCACTGTTGTGTTGATTTGTAGAACTTACTTAGCTTCGGTATTTCCCCCAGCAAGTCCCAAGGCAAAACCAGGAATCTTCAGAAATGAGGGCTGTGAGCAAACATGTATTAAAATTCTCGCGATTGGAAGTTTTGTCTTCCCAATTTGTTTACACCTCAGCTAAACCCAGATACAGGGTATTGAGCAGGAAATTACTGAAAATGTTGATAGTGAGGATTGAAGGGTAGAGTGACGTGAAAACTTTTCTTTGTCGACTTTCTAGGTGTGAATTTTTTTAATCAAGAGAAGTAGTTGTGCTTTTCTTTCCCCTCCCGACTTTCATTCCTCTGTTAAGAGCTACACAGTGACAGAGATGTCATCGTTGTTCACTAATTTATAATAACACTTAACTTCTTGCACACACATAAGGCATGCACCTTCATTCAAATGTCATCACTACAGAGGGGAAGCGTGACCAGTAACTTGATTATTCACATGCTTCAAACCGAAAAATCAGAACTTCTTTGGCAACTAAATCTAGCTGCTCACTAGTATAACAGTACCTCACATGGTCTGGTGGTGTGTGTGTCTATCACTCTCAGGAATTTGCTCAGGGTCATCAGTGTCAATATAAGACCTGATAGAATTGACTTGATGACTCCATTTTCTTCACCAATCAAGGCATATTCCTACTGCTGCCTGTTTTTATATAGTGAAGCGTGATTTATGCTGGAAGCTTTTGTGAACCAAATACTTTAAATTCAGTCTCTGAAACTGTCGTAATTCCCCGACCAGAGAGGATTCAGGCGACAGCTGAACTAACCCATTCCTTACCCTGTTTGCCTGTGACACTGCTCCTACAAAGTCACCTTCTGCATTTCCTGTGGGACCGCATTTCCAACTGACTCCAGTTTTAGGTAGAACCAAAGGGATGAAAGTTGTTTCTACATAAACCCAATTTGATGTCTATCCACATAAACTGCAACAATATGATTGACTTGTAAACATCCTCCGAGATGAGGCTGTAATTTTCTGTAATTTTCTGTTGATTTCGCAACACTTTAAAGATATAACCAAGTATAATTATGCTGTACAAGGATGAATGGGCCCCACAGAATGCCAGAAATAACTTACTTCCCTCTTCCATTTATAGATGCAGAAGAGTAATATTCAGAGGAAAGCACCTAGACAAATTTTGTTTCCTAAACCTAAAACGTTTCTGCTTAGTGTCAGAAAAACAAAACTAGACAGGCATATTTAAAATAAAATGACAGTGAAGTTTTTTGTTTCCTTGAGGAAGATTGGCCCTGCGCTAACATCTGTTACCAATCTTCCTCTTTTTTTCCCCTTTTTCTCCCCAAAGCCCCAATACATAGTTGTGTATCATAGTTGTAGAGTTGTAGCTTTTCTATATGGGACGCCGCCTCAGCATGGCTTGATGAGCGGTGAGTAGGTCCTCGCTCAGTATCCAAAGTGGCGAACCCTGGGCCGCCAAAGTGGAACCTGTGAACTTAACCGCTACGCCACTGGGCCAGCCCTGACGGTGAAGTTTTGAGGGTAAAAGGTTTTCATCAACTAGTCCCAGTATGCACACCCTCCCTTTCACATTTACACCTTCCCTGTCTCCCCTTAGTCTAAGCCCTGTTCTGATTTTAGTTGTCAGACCCAAACTAGTCCTCCAGCACCAGCCTGCTCAGTCTGATCTCTAGTGTCTGCGTCAGTAGTAACTGGCTTGCCCTGCAGCCCGTCCCAAGATCTACACCTCCGCATCCGAAGCCTCTCCCTGAAACACTGCTCCCTCCTGCCACCTTCCATCTGGAGGCAGACTTACTCCACACTCCTTCATTCTTCTGTCCCACGCCCACCTCCATTTTTTCACAAGGTCCTGGCCAGCACAGCTCTTCTAGTCTTCGCTCACCCAGTCCAATCCTTCTTTTCAATTTTCTTAACTCTAACTTCAACTCAGAAGCCTTTCACAACCAACTGACGTGACGTTACTTGTGATTCTCTTTATCATCATTATTCCCTCTGCTCACGCTGGAGGTAAATGCTTTATTCCTTCAATGTGTAATTCTATATTGACAAACTGATGAGACTAAATTCTAGTCTCATAAATCATCATGATCAGTGTCATTTATAAGCAGAGCGATCACTAAGATAGATAGATATACATGGCAGGGATGGAGAACAGATTTTTGAATAACTATTTCTCCTCAGTTTTTCCTATAAGAATTATAAAACTGGTTACATATTACATTCATATGTACCATGAATGTGTATATCTGGTCTTTTTTCTTCCTACCCTGTACTCATTCTGGATTCAGTCAGCAAATATTTAGCAAGTGCCTTAGGTTTCTACAGTGTCGTGTGCATTTGGTACACACAGCAAAGAATGAAGGCTGGCACTAAACTCTTAGCTCATGATCCTGCCTTTCGTGTGAATGACACAGCACATATCTGATGACCTCACCACTTAATTCTGAGCTAAATCCTCTTTGGCGTGAGAACAGCAGGATGGGCTCCACTGCCGCCGCCTCTCACAACTTGGACGTTGCCGTTCCCACCAAGTTTATAGCTTCAAAGAGGGGTCCTTTCTCATATTTATGTATAAACAGGTACCAGTTTTGATTTTATTTCATCATATTAACATACATGACACATCAAAATGAGAAATGCACAATTTAACCATTCAACAGCTTGCCATACTCCCAAAGAACACTATATTCATATTAAACATTTATACAGTCTTTCCACCTAATTTTACAAATGTCCTAAACCATTTTCCAGCATTTCTCACATAGAAGTCTAGTTTTGCTCTTTAAAATGACCATTCTGTATCATCCTAGTAGACTCCAGGGCCTCCCCACGATTACGTGCTGAAGAGGCCAACCCCACACGGCCTGCAGACGCCCCAAGCAGCTCCAGGGCTGCGCTGAGGCTGCCCTTCTGCAGGGTAGTCTTGATTCCGAGAACTGATTATTTGACATTAGCAATCAAGGACTACGGGTTGTAGTGTCTGACTACATCACAGTCACAGGAAGGAAGGGGACCGTGGCCAAGAGAAAGCCCAAATGATGGAAGGCAAACTGCTGCCCAAAGATCTCATGAAAACCACGTCCCCAACCCTCCTGAAACATACTAACATTAGAGCTATTGCTTTCATTTCTTAACAATGTTTGACAGTTGTGACCAGACTCTGGAAACAGTGAGCTGTTACCCATTTGGTGTGCATATACACAACACATCAAAAATTGCTGTGTGAAACCTTGAGAATGTCTGATTACATCCAAAATTTAAATGTATATAGAAAAACCAACTTATCATTTAACAGAACTTTTTCAATATGGTAACAATGCGCTCAGTTACCCTCTTTCTGCCCTCACTTGATACCCACCTCACAGTACGTGACTTGTGCATGACCAGTTCAGTGAGGGTCATCGTCGTCGTGATCAAGTCAGTTTTGAATCATGTCATTCTGTGCTGGTTTTAGCAGTCACCATAGGAAACATGAAGTCACATGCTAGTCAAAGGACTGTCCATTTCTCAAACATAGAAAAACCTGAGATATGAGTCAGCAACTAGCTACACTGACAGTAAAGAACAATGATACCACCACCCCCCACCTCCAAAAAGCTGCTGACATGAATTAAGGCTTCATTAGAGGACCACACTGTTGACAGAACTCAAGCCAGGAAGTTTAAAAGCAGATACATACTATCACTTGTGTACTTGTTCTAATCACCGCCCATTTCAGCTGCCAGGATTGATTCCATACAGTGATTGTAGGTCAAGGGCTGAGAGATGGCCTTGGTCCCGCTCCATTCTGATATGTCCCTTCTACTAAAAAAAATGCTGGGGACAGTTTCTGACAATAGCTTGGCTGTGGCTTTCCACTCTGCTCACAATGAAACAAATCCAACCGCCGTCTCCTCACCTCCCTATACTGTTTGGTTCTGAACATTCCTTGCTTACTCAAGCCTCTCAACCCTATCGGTAAATCTGAAAGTCTAAGGAAATTATAGAAATACCACCCTCATCACTTGCTAAGGGGAAAAAACCCATCAAGAAAAGAACCGTTTCCTGCTTCTCCTCAGCAATTTTACCTTCTTGAATCTTTCCATAGTCTTCCTCCTCCTTGGTAGTTTCCTATAAAATTCTGCCTTATTGTTACATTTTTACAAAATGTATCTGTGCAATGAAACAAATGAAAAACATCTACTTTGGCTGAGAACTTGAAGGTGCTGCTGTTCTGCTACCAAGTAAATTCACATCGGGCTTGAAACCAAGTTAATCTTTACTTCAAGGATTAACAATCCCATTTTGAACAATTCTTTGATTTATAAAGAGGGAGGTAGACTTGTTTAGCCTCCCAACCTTAGCTTAAATCATTATGCTGCCAGATTCCTGGCTGTTAAATTGAATCCCAGATGGTTTCCCTTCTCTTTCTTCATAAAGCTGAGAAGAAGAAAGAAAAACTGAACTACCTCCATCCAGGCCCAACTGGAAATTTGTGCATAGACAGTTGAAATTGGTCTGAAAAGTGTGACTAGCTACCTACCTATTATTCACAATGCCTAGAACACGGGCTACCAGACGTGGGAGTGGTGAAAGGCCCGACTTTCGGTCTGAGGTACTGGGTTTGCTCTAAAGGAGATCTTGGCAAGGCCCCCTAATGGTCCGTCCAGCAGAATGATGCTCGTATCACTCAGCTGTCAGGTGAGCGTGAATTTGTTAGTCAGCTTTGGATGTGATCATTTCTCTTGGATTTACCATTAGGTTCTGTCCCTAATAGGGTCTACCCACCCGACCCTCAAGCTGGCTCAGTCTCAGCGCTAAGGTGCACTATGGAAGGGACTGGACAAAGACTAGCATTTGAGATTTCTTTGTAGCGCAACATGAAACTGGTAGGGGATTCTGTCTCCAACACCAAATAGAACTTGATTCAGTAAGCACAAGAGGATGTGCAATTCATTGCAGAAAACCGTTTCAGCTGTTTGGGGGGGGAATCTAGCATATGCCCTTCCACTTTTGTTGGGAGAAATATTAGCAGATCTCTCAAATGCAGATGTTAAGAGAACAACGGTGTTGATCCATCTTTTGCTTTTACACCATAGCTCCATTTTCCAAAAATATATATGTATGTACATATATATATTTCAGATTTACAGGGAATATTTTTTGTGAACAAGAAAAAAACTGTCCATAGAAGTCACAAGAGCCTTTCTTCTCAGGAGACCTCGATGATCTCCATGCTGCCCGAAAAGCTGGACTGGCTGCCCACCTTCCCCAGTTCCTCCCGCGACCTGTTCTCGGACATGATGCTCTCTCCAAATTCCATCTGGCAGCTTCTGCGTTTAAATTGCTTTTCAAAGGGGCTCTCTTCGTGCCAGCTTCGCCGCGAGTCAGCTCTGTCGCTTGGCTTCTGCCGCCTGCGCACAGAATAGACTTGGTCACTGCAAGTGGGCAGCTGGCTACAGCTGTAGGCGGAGTAACTGGCATTGCCTCCATAGATGGCTGAGGCGGAGTAGAAGTGAGAGGACTCTGTGGCAAAATACCAACTATTGGTCAAGGAAGGGGTGGAGGTCTGGGGAGCCAAGATATCCGAGTGCCAGCCCTTGAGGCCCAGCCCTGCGGCAGACTTCGCGAGGTGTTGCTGGCTGGTGGAGAGGCCAAAAAGGAAGTTAGTGTGGTAGTTGTCCTCCACACTCCCACTTCGATGCAGCGGAGATAAGAGGGACCTTTGGGTGGCACCACTGTTGCTGGTTCTTACTGAGTGTAATCGCTTGCTCTGGCTATCTGAAGGCCTGGTAGTCTGAGGTTTCTTGGGGATGTTGGCTTCCTCCTTATCGGGACTGGTTTCTGGAGTCTGCTCTGATACTTCCTCAACTGGAGAGAACTGGCATAGCTTGTTGGTCCCATCCAGAGTGGTGGAAGGTTTGTAATATTCCAGAGCATCTTCTGATGAGGAGAAACCATGCAAGGACGCTGCCATACTGGCTGAGTACGAAACGGATTTGATATCCAGAGAGAAGGAACGCTTGAGCTTACTGCTGTCTTCCAGCTTGTCTGAGGCCAGGTGGAGCCCGTTGAGCGCCTGTACCAGCGGGCTGTCCTCCAACAGTGATGGCTGTCCGCTGGGCACACTGGCAGCGTGCACAGGCCTTTGCCCTGCTGCCTCTGAGGTAGCAGAGTTGGCACAGGGTGGACTGAGGGACGTGTCGCTTTTCTGTCCACCCTCTGAGACCGCAGGGACAGGGTCATTCGGCTTCTCCAGGTGCAGCAGCTTGAGTTTGCTCTTTGGCCCTGATGCTCCAGTCTGCTTCTTAATCTTCTTCTCATAGTCCAGGAGTTGGCCCAGAAAATTGAAGTTTGGAGATATAGTAGGTCTTTTTTCTTTCACAAATCTATGAAGAGAGGAAAAAAACAAAAAAATTTCAATTTTATAACCACATTTTATCTTAATATATTAAGAGAATAAATGAGATAGGAAATTATTAGACCCTCCCAAATACCTTTGGAAGATGACTGGTTTAATCAAGGAGACACCTCAAGGTGGAGAATACAAGGGCCTCTTCATTGGGGGAGCTTTATAACATGCCCCTGGAGCATCCTAGAAAGAGGGGGGCCAGGTCCCAAAAGCCCTCGTTTTAGCCCCCTTATTTTCAAGGACCCAAGTCTTCCAATGTAACTGGTAAGAGATGATTCTTTCCTCACCACCAGGACTGCCCCCCAACATGCCCCCCATGGTACCACCATCAGAAGTGCAGTATAACAGCCACTCTCCAGCTTCAATTTTCCAATATCATGCTTCTCCAAGCCCCCAGTCACTTCCTCAAAACATTTCATATTCTTAATTAATGACCAAAGAAGAGGGTATCAGATGGTCAGAGCATCAAAGCATGCATTTCTGAGTTCCTTCTCTTTGTACTCAACATGACAGAGTAACCAGCCACAAAATGGTCTCTGTGTGCTAAGCACTATGCAAATACATTAAACAGAGCATTATCTTATTCAATCCTCAAAACTACCCTAAGTCAGGTGGGTGTAATTATCCCCATCATTTAGGTACACACAGTCCTTAAGTGACTTTCCCAAAATCACACAGCTACTAAGTGATGGCACTGCGATTCAAAACCAGGTCTAATGTCTGGGTCCATTTGTGTAACCACCATGTTAAAGAAGATTCATCAGGGGGTCGAAACTTGTAACAAATAGCTTGTATGTTTCACTGCAGAAATAAAGACTCTTATAGACAGTAGACATTCTTTAGTGGCCCCTGACCCTCAGAGACACTTCTCAGAAGATGCAGAGTGAAACTACACTGAAAATTTGTATTGAATACGGAAAGAGAAAAATCAAAAATAAACTCCTTGGCAATTGAGTAACCTAAAGCAAATTAACAAAGCCAGAAATAACTGGCTCGACTAGAACAAGTATAAAGGCAGGATCCTTATAATAGGACTTCGTAACAAGATATGAAGGTGCCTTTTCTTCTGGTTTCTACGTGGCGCAAGAGGACTTCAGAGAGAAGAGCCCGAATAGAGGACGAGGGGGCTGGTGCAGACAAATGGAGGACTCATCTCCTCAGGTTTCTTCCTCAAATGAGAAGCTGTTCAGGCAGCTTGTTTCTTTTTTCCAAATTTTCCACTTTGAGAAAAAGTTCAATAGTTACAACAGGCCTGCTCCATGCGACTACGTTTATTGATCCTTTATCACATGAAAAGTAACCAGCTCTACCCAACAAGACATGCAGAGGACTCCGATTCACCAACCACTAAACAAAACCCCAGTCCTTGGTGCTATCGCCATTTGCCCCACATTTTGAGAAGCAGGGGTCAACCCAGTCAAAATTACACACTGCAAAATCTGGGCAACTCCAGAAGGGAGGAGATTTTACTCAGTGAATGCAGTTTGACAATTATTTGGTTTTACACTTGCATGTATCAGGCTCTTTCCTCACAGTGAAACAGACACAAATTTGAAGCAGAGTAGAAATTCTATAATGAGTATTCTCCAGGAGGTTTTTTCCCATATGTCAATTAGAAGAAATGGTACTTCCTCAATTAGGGAAAAATATAAACTCACATAACAGGATACAGATCTCTGGATTTCTTGTTCCTTAAACTTAATAAGTAGTCGAGGATGAATCTAACACACATTAGGGTAGAATTAATGCTACTATAAAAATGCATTCTTCTCCAGTCTTTGAAAGACCATTTAAAAATCCACAGTCACAAGAGTGTAACTAAAATCATCATGATCTGGTTTAATTTGGTTTCTCACCATCATAGCTCTTCATGTTTCGGGTCAAATGAAAAGACAATCACACAGGTGTGTTCGTGCCCTCACCTGTAAGCTTCATCTAAGGACATGTCCATCCTCTTCATGATGTAGGCAATAGCGATGGTGGCGGAGCGGGAGATCCCAGCTAAACAGTGCACGAGGACACACCCATTGGAGGCTTTCGCTTTCTCTGTACGAGTCAAATTCAAGAAGGGTCACTAACAACAACTTCGTTCAGCAGTGAAATCTTGTTTCCATTTACTTACTCAATGTCTTTCATCTGACAACTCAAAGTAAATCTCATTTATTCACCTATTTTTCCTTTCAATATTCTTTTAAGGAGATAGTGGAAGATAATTTGCCCACTATTTACATATAGGACAATGAAGGTCCAAAATGTTAACGAGCAGTTTGTCCCTAACTCAGATGGTCTGACTCTTAGTCAGTACTTTTCATCATGTATTTTTTACATTATTTATTATTTTAATAACTTTCCCTGAGTATAAATCCTACATTGTGATTATGTGATTCTCCTTGTTTAGTGTAGAAAATTTCAGAAATACAGAAGTACAAAGAAAATAACATCCAAAATCCTAAGATTTAGCTAATATTTAGTTTACCCATGACACTTCACAACTTTTTTCTAGTTATGTAGGAGATATTAAATTTTTTTCCAGTTTTGAGATATAATTGACATATAACATTGTATTACTTGAAGGTTGTACAACACAGTGATTTGAGATACAGAAGAGATATTAAATTTCTAAGAATATTTTTTCATTTCAAACATATGTGACATAACATTACTATTTAAAAAGCAGGGAGGGGCCGGCCTGGAGGCGTAGTGGTTAAGTTCGCATGCTCTGCTTCGGTGGCCTGAGGTTCGCGGGTTCGGATCCTGGGCGTGGACCTACACACTGCTTATCAAGCCATGCTGTGGCAGGCGTCCCACATATATAAAGTAGAGGAAGATGGGCACGGATGTTAGCCCTGGGCCGATCTTCCTCAGCAAAAAGAGGAGGATTGGCAACAGATGTTTTCTTCCTCACAGAAAAAAAAAAAATAACATAAATTTAAAAAAATTGAAAAAGGGAGAGGGGGCCAGCCCGGTGGCACAGTGGTTAAGTTCAGCACGTTCTGCTTTGGTGGCCCAGGGTTCGCAGGGTTACATATATTATCTATTTTAATCTTCACAATATCCTTATAAGGTAGATACAGTATCTTCAGTTTCCAAATCAGGAAACTGAGGAACAGAGACGTTTTAAGTAACTTACCCCAAATCACTTAACTAATAACCAAGGAAGACGGGACTCAAATACAGTTTGGCTCCAAAGTACACACTCTTAATTACCTCCCTGTATTGCCTACATGCAAAGTCATGAGTTAGGTGTGGTGAGGTGGGGCAGGAGCCAGGGAGACAGCGAGGAGGGAGGAGAGCCCGCACCAGCAGCCAGCTGGGACTGGGGGCACCTCATGAGGGTCCCACAGCACAAACAGGCAAACCGTGTTTACTGCTGCCTACATTAACTAAAAATAGACATAAAACTCCATGAAAATGTGAGTCCTTTCAACAAACCCAGACACTTACTGAAATTTAACCTAAGTAACAAGAACAAAAAACCTACGGGCCTACAAGTTATTACATCCTGGTATGAGGGTATGTCTTCAAATGACATACTCTGCCATGACTAACGATGGCTTAAAACGCCCTGGAGGAGCACATGTGGGCTGGATTCCAAAAACGGGCTGGAGATTTTGCCCTGAATTATCTGGGTGGGATAAGGACGGTGGCCCTAGTAAATAGGGCCAAGCAAGTGAAATACTGCTAAGTAAAAATATTTTCAGATGTTACAAATAAATTATGATGTGTTTGTATGTGTGTATTGAACGAACTTGCAACATGGTAAAATTCCTTTTGTATGAATTAAAAGTGGCAGGATGACCCCAATATCTCCCACGAGAGAAGAACTATGTTGGCAGCAAAGTTACTCATATTCTCTCTTTTCTGCCAACCCTCCTAAAGCTTTGACATTGTCATGACTTAACAGAATCAGGTTCTCTTCTAAATAGATCCTGAAATCGAACTTTTAGCTGAAATTAGAGCCAAATGTCTCTGGATTGATGTGACATAACAATGGGAACATTAACCAAAATTGTTATCTTGTCAAGAGGCAAAACTGAATGATATGCTGAATATTTCCTAGAAGTACAATGGTGGGGGGATTAATGTGGGGAGTTTTGCTTGTGATTATTTTAATGTCAATTATCTAAGCCATTTATCTTCAGATGGTTCACAGAATGTAAATTAAAGGTGAAAACTCTTGGCAATCTGGAATCTTGAAAAAAAGAGGACTGTTTCAGAATTATCCAAAGTTCCAAAAACATCATCTAGAAAATTCCTCTCACAGGTGAAAGGATATAGTGAGAGGTTTAATTTACATAACTTCACTTTTTAAAAGGAACTAGCTCTTTTTTAAAAAAAAACTACAGTAACCAATTCAGAGTATTTAATTATGGATTTGAGTGCTTACACTTATGTGACTAGGGGGAAGAAAATAACACAACTCCTCCCATGGAGCACCAAGAGTCACACCTTGTTACGTTGCTCAGGAGCCAGCAGTGATTCTCCTCCACTGAAACCACATTTCACATACACGCCACCAGTTTACTGCCAGCAGACCTGATCCTGTGGCGCTCAAATGTCACAATAGCATCTGAAGCCAAAAGTCAGGGAGGCTCCAGGACTGACAGGCCCAGTGAGCAGAACAAAGTATGTACAGATCAGATCTCGTCACAACCAACGCCAAGGAAATGAGCAAGTGTGTGTGCTAGAATTTTATTAGATCCAGTAACTACTTGAAATTATTGGCACATGGACTGAGGCTTAGAAATCTTGTGACATAAAGATTTTAAATGTAATGGGATTTGTTTTCACAGGGTTTAACTTTTCTCTGGGGAAAACATAGCAGCAAGGCAAAAACAGTTTGAGGAATGCCACCAGTTTCCAAAGTCTTTTATAGGATTTGAGAAACTGGGTAAAATATTTAACCCTAAAAGTGGAACTGATTTTCAAACACTTACAAATACATAATCACAGATCCCATCCGCTTAACCTGGGTGGTGTTAAGTTAGCTAGAATGTCACATGGCCGGTCCCTTAGGGACGGCATGGCACACACAGGTGGCCGTGGCAACTAAATGAGATAAGCAGCATCATGTGTTGTTTTCGGATTTCTGAAATCTCCGAAATACGCTCCTTTTCTCTAAAGAAAAACAAAGGGGAGGAAGGGAGGGGGTACACTTACACACGAGACTATAACCCAAAGGACCTGTGATGTTACTTGAGCTACTTACCAATGAAATCGACTGATTTGTCCAACCACGGCAAAATCTTTTCACAAAAGCTATCATTCACAGGCACTCGCAGGAAATGCGACTCGGGGATAAAGTCGGGCTTGGGGCAGGTGTTGCTGGCATTTAACACGTAACCAATCCCATTCTGCTGCATCAGCTCCTACGAGGGGATGAGCAGTAAAAGTGACTAACAATATACACACTCATTACAAAACACACAATCACTTTGAAAGAGCAAAGTTTGATCATAATGATAAAAGTTACTAATTTCCTTGAAATAATCAGAGTTCATTCAAGCGGTAAAATCCAAAAGCTGAGCAGGCACAAGGACCTTCAGAGACATAAGTTCAAAGCAGAGTTTTTAAGGGCACAAAAGGCTGTTTTAAAATAGTATGCATGAAGATCACACATCATCAGTATAGTCAACTCGCTAGTATCTTCACGACTAGAGAGACAAGCGGAATAAATACAAAATAAAACCACAACCATTTACCATGACTCGAGAATATACGCACACACAACAAGAACACTTTCTTCCCAAACTGAACATGCTGGTTGTTCTCTGACACCGTCCTAGGCAGTCTTCTCTCTCTAAATACTCTCTTGGAAGGCTGAATCTATTTCCATAGCTTTAATTATCAGCTCTACCTGCTGATGACTCTTGAATCCTCTTCAATTTCCAACCCGTATTTCCAACTACCTACTGGATGGTCCTCAGGCCCTTCAAACTCAAAATGCCAGAAACTCAACACACTATCTTTCTCCTCTCTCTGCCCCAAGTTCCTGATTCCTTTCTGTAATCCAACATTGGTTTATGGTAATAACATCCACCCAGACACTTGAGCTAGAAAATAGGATCATTTCATTTCGTTTCTCTTTCTCATGACCCCCATCCACATTATCTGCCAAATCCTTACGGTATCCCCTCTCCTATTTATCCTCTCCTCTATTCCCAGTCGCCCTCGGTGGTCAGCCCTCACCATGATGACAAAGAGCAACAGGGAGCTCTTGACGTCTGCAGTTTTCCTCTCCAAACCATACACTGAACAGAAGCTGGAGTACCCTTTCTTATCATCAAACACGGGCTAAGTGCTTTATCCATCGTGTCTCATTGCCTGCCCCTGTCCCATACAACCTTCACATCCCCAAACATCACATTTTCACACCCTTCCGTGCTGCTGTTCACACTGCTCCTGTGCCTAGCAGGCGCTGGTCCTCTTCCTGATGATTCTCTTCCACTTTTCCCACTTTGTTTAAATTAACCCTACTATGAACTCCGTCCCCCTGATACACAATTCACACTACAGAGAAGCACCCAGCATACTGTGGGTATTCTTGTCTCTCCCATTAGGTAGTGAAGTAGTGAGATCTTGGACTGATTCTTGCTTGTTTTTCTCCCTTTAGCACCAGGTACACAGCTGCATTCAATACGTACGTGTTTGTTCACCTAACACCCGGTCCACCATCTTCCAGGCAAGTCCCACTCCGTTTCATCACCCATTGCTCCTCTCAGGAAATGTTCTAAGCCTGAAATAATTCTCTTCTAAGCAACTCTTGTCACTTCTTCCATTTCTTGGAATGCTACCTCCTCTACAAGTCTTTTCCAACTACCTGAAAGACAGTGGGTAATTTCCTTCCTACTTTACCCTCCCGAAACATGCCAATTCCCTAATCCCTTCATTTACCGCGTTTGGCATAATAAATACACTTTATTTTACATTAAAAAGTAGACTTAATAAATCCAGATCATGTATGCAGCCCTTGATCAACTGAGACGACATTGTCAAGAAACAGCTTCTGGAGCCAGGCGAGCTTCTGAGAGTGACCGACCCTCCAGTCTTCCGATGTCTCGTGTGCTTCTGTAGGTTAATCATCAGGCTGTGAAGATCTTAATGGTGTTTGCTGCTAAACTTTTAAACGTTTGTACATGTAGCAAAGGTCACATCTGTTTTTCTACGCTGAGATTATCTACCACTGTCTGACCAACCACAGTGTCTCGCCTGTAGAACAGCAAAGGTCACTGGAAAGGTTCAGGCCTTTCTCACCAATGGTCCTTAAAGACAGGAACCATTTTATATTTCTTTCTCCTTTCCACCAACAGAACTACAAAAATTTATTAAATTAAAAGGAAGTAGTAACATCGCTTTCCAGTTCTGAGAAAAGGGGCTGAGACTAACAGTGTTGTCTGCTACACACAATCAACAGGCAGTTCTCACTAAGGACAAAACATGTCACAGGTCAATAATGACTATCCAATTTGATTTCCCCATAGGAACAATATAACAATGGACACCTCTGACAAGTAGCCTAATAACCTACATTTTGTAGAAATGACCACTTAATCAACCTTAATTCAATAAAAATAACTTGTTGGGTACCTTTGCTAGAGGCCTATTAATAACATACTATTATGGCACATGGCACATATTAACAAAATACCTTCTAACATTCAATGAATGCCTACTATGTGCAGGCTACTGTGCTAAGCATTTAAATGGACTGTCTCCTTTAATCCTCACAACCACCCATTGATGTGGGTACTGTTATTATTCTCATTTTAAAAATGAGGAAACTGAGAGGCCAGCCCAGTGGCATAGGAGTTAAGTTCACACGTTCTTCTTCAGTGGCCCAGGGTTCACAGGTTCGAATCCCAGGCATGGACCTACCCACTGCTCATCAAGCCATGCTGTGGTAGCATTCCACATACAAAATAGAGGAAGATGGGCACAGATGTTAGCTCAGAGCTAATCTTCCTCAGCAAAAAGAGGAGGATTGGCACTGGACGAGCCAGTCTTCCTCACAAAAAAAAAAGGGGGGGGGGGACTGAGGCTTAGAGAAGTTACACAATGTTTCCAAAGTTAGGCAGCAAGCAAGTGGAATAGAGTCAAAATCCACATCCAAGCATACTCATCTCCAGCATCTGTCCTCTGAATGGCTGTACTCTCCTGAAGTCCTTTTTAAAGCAAATTAGACAGAGCAATAAAGTAACTAGCTTACATCCAGACACTTTTTTTTAACTAAATGAAGTATTAGAATATAAAGTTTTAATTTCATTCTTTTTTACCCTTTTTAACTGTAACAAAAGTAGAAAGTAAAGGAGCACCTCTGGGCATGGACTCTTGGAGCAGACTCTCGGAGGGCCTCAGGACGCCAGATGGCTACTTGAGGGGACTTATCCCAGTCTTATTTGGCCCCCTTTGATCCTTACTGTCACCACAACTGCAGCTGGAGGCGTTACAGAGCTGGTCCCTCTGCCACGTTTACTCCATTCCCTGCCATGGGTTGAGGACGGGCTGCCCACACGCACGTCCACGGCCCTCACGCTGACCGCCCCACGCACGCAACTGCAACAGCGCGGCCACGGCTGCACAGCAAGGATCGTGGGAAAGGGCAGTTCTGACCTGATTTCAGAAACAGCAATAATCCCAGCTTACAACGCTGTTTATACCTCAAAAGTATTCTTCACTTATAGAACAATGTACCATAAAAGATGCATTTATTTTTTTTAAACATTTTATTTATTTATTTATTTTCCCCCCAAAGCCCCAGTAGATAGTTTTATGTCACAGTTGCACATCCTTCTAGTTGCTGTATGTGGGACGTGGCCTCAGCATGGCCAGAGAAGCGGTGCGTTGGTGCGCGCCCGGGATCTGAACCCGGGCTGCCAGCATCGGAGTGTGCGGACTTAACCGCTAAGCCACGGGGCCGGCCCAAGATGCATTTAAATAGTAGCTTTATTTTAGATAACTGGCAAAGGGGGAGGGGAAAAAAGACATTAATGTGTTGAAATTGAGTGATGATAAAATAATTTAAACACGAAATGAGAAATAAATGGAATAATTTCAATAGTAAATAACTTGATTTATAAAAATTTTACTTTAAAAAAATCTATTTATTAAATCAATTATCCAGCTGCTACCAGAAATTCTCTTTGTAATAAAATGGGACTTGATAAATAAAACATGGTCAATTTTAAACACAAAAAAGCCAACACAAATCCTAAAATGTCATCATATAAAATTTAAATGTAATTTGGCTACTAAATTAAATATCATAAATAAGTACCCTCTCATGGATTGTACTTACTACGTCAGTGGAAAAAGTCAGTTAAAGAAGGAAATCATTAAAAATGATACATATATACATGAAAAATTTTTATTTTTAACTCAGAACAAATAAATGTACATTAGTTCCCTAATTTCTGATGCAGGATCGCGGCTTTTTCTTTTGTTTTTGATAATTAGCTGATTGGAGTTCTTAAGCAAATCATGACCAAATGCGTCGACCACTTACAGATTCCTTTTCTTTAAAGAGCAAGAATCTGTGAGACGACACCAGCACAGAATCCTTCTAGATGACGACTGTCCCCTAAATATTTTACAGTTGCCTTACTCCCCCTCCCAGTTTAGACAGAAAAAAAAGTAAAGCAATTTCTTTCCTGAATCTTTCGAAAACATTTAACTTAGGTCATAGAAAAACAACTCTATTCCCTCATTCATATTTCACTGGTCTATGTAATATTTTAATGTACGTAATTATAATAACAAAACACTGGCCTAAACAGGTTTGAGAACAAATACAGCTGCCTCCTGGTAAGCACACCATTCAAAGGGTGCAAGTAGACAGGCTACAGCGCAGAGCCTACTGCCAGCCCCGAGGCAGCGTTCACCTGCTGGGGCATCAGGGTGGAGAGGTCAGTCCATCTCTGAAGTCAGTTCAGGCTTCTGCTGCAGTTTCATGTAACTATGCCATTAACTCGCTCTCCTAATTATTTTTATGAATGTCCATATAAGTGGTGGAAAGGGCATCTTACGTCAATGTTTCTGACTGGAACTGGGATGGAACTACAATGATGAAGAATGCGTCTGACTGTTTTGTAGAATAATGATTGTTTTTATTCATAGACAGATGTCAATGACTCTTAGTAACTATTATAAAGTTATTTATGTAATTCATTCAGTTTTGTTTCAGTATGTTGTGTAAAATATTACAACTGAGCATTACTCTGTCCCATAATTAAACATAATCTTTAAGCTTCCAGAAAGGAGTCATCTTATACTGTTTAATATTTAGAAAACTTTGTGCTAAGTCTGCTCACACTTTCTTTCTACTGATAAAGTAATCTTTCTTCTCTGGCCTTCAATTATCCTTCTAACACCT